TGGGCTTCCCATGAATCTTACAAGAATATCTGCTGGGAGCTATCCTCACTTTAAAAACAATGATGCCCAGAACATTCTAAACACTTTCATTTCACATCTCTTTCTGCTTCTGTCCCTGTCTCACCACCAGTTTCCTGTAGCATCCAGCTCCCAGGTCAGTGAGTGCTGATACAAGCACAGGCACATCATGAATCTAATCCTGGGAGGTAGGGCCAGGAGTATAAAGAACAAAATATTGAGAAGCTATAGGGTTGCACATGAGCCAGTAGAGAAGCACCAGGAATTCATCTTGTTGATTTACCGAGATACCAGTTCCAGGAATTTGCACAGTGTGGTTTCTCCATTCACTCTCCTTCCAGTCTTCCTCACATTGTACAGCTTTGAGAAGGTGTATATTATTGCCCTGGTTTTCATTGTGAAGAAAGTGGAACTGTGATTGTCAAGTTATACAGCCGGACTGTATAGAACAGGCTGATACTAATAGCAGCATGTTTTGATGGGCCAAGCTACAGTGAAGGGGCACCACCAGTAAAGCTGTTATTAAACTCTTCTGATTACAAGCTGGTGCTAGAGATGACAGGAAGTTTGCTCAGTCTCTTTACCCCAATACATGATATGAAAGAACATTTCACTGGAGTGGGCTATAAAATGGCAGAGTGACTGGGAATAAAATTATCACGAAATGCGAAGCATAAAATGAGAGAGCGTTCCAGAGAGGGAAAGAAAGATGACACTGAATCAGCCACCTAGAGGAAAATTTGAATTGTTTTCCAGTGAAGTTTACCACTTTTCAGGGTGAACCATTGAAGTGAAATAGTGATGGTGACTATCTTTGCTGATTGTTCAGCTTGTGCATTTTGCCATTCTCGCTCATGAGACTGTTAACAGCATAACTCTGTAGGATTGAGTCAAGAGCATGATGGATAATGTGACTGAAAGCAGATAAAAAGGTTGTAGGCTCCCCTCCTATCTGGTTTGAGTGAGCTTTGCAAACTTTGTCTTGTCACTTTGCTGCCTGTACTGACAGCTTAGGTGACTTTGTCACCACAGACTATGTTGCAAAGTATTCTCTCCTCAGATCAACTACATATCAATATTAAAGAGGCTTTATTTAGTCCAGAATATTGAGGAGAGATTTTAAAGTCCCAAATGCTCCAGGATTTTGTACACAAAGCATTTGAGAATGAAGTGCGTGTGCTGCACTAATGATTGATTGTACCTGACAAAAATCACTGTGAGCTAAATGAAAAATTGCAGAATGTGGGGTTTGAGAAGGAAATTGACTCCCAGAAGCCCAAGGCCCCAAATCTTACTGCTCAATCATCAATAACATCAATTCCAGCTGCACCTCCTCCCAAACATTGCCATTTTCCTTGGCTTTTGTTCCTGGGTTTCATATTTGCATATGCCCTCATTTTGAAATCCAATTCGCTTCAATGTCCAACTTAAAATTGACAAATAACACAAGTCCCATTGTGCTCAGTTTCGCATTCACCGCAATCAGTTTTTCCATTTAAAATAAAGGAATTTTGTCTGGAAAAGATTTAGAAAGTTGGTTGACTTCTATTTGTCACTCAATTTAAGTTTAATAACTGCGATATAATTTGCCTGGATTTTGCTGAGCCTGTATTCAATGTATTGGGAGGTTTGTACCAGGGTGGAGAATTTTGTGCCCCAGGGATTGGCAGTAACTCTGTGAAGCTTCAGGCTCCACTTTCAGCAGGTAGTGGCGGATTGGAAAGTGCAGGATTGGAAAATTGGTGCTTTTACATATTTCCCTATGGAGCTGAGGAAGGATGAATCATTGATAGGATTGTCTGAATCAGATAGCTTCATCAATTTCTAATAGATTTGGTGTAGCCACGTGGTGGGTCTGGTTATTTCCTCATAGATTTGCAACAAATATTCATTAAAAACTCCTCTCTAATTGTTTACTGGATAACAGTTCTGCTCGGGCAAAATTTTACTCAGTATTGGAAAATTCAATCCGATTGTCTGGTCTGATAATTAACTCAACTTTGCCTTATTCCCATAACCCTGATTCTCTTATTAAAAATCTTTCTATCTCAGCCTTGAGTATACTAAATGATCCAACCTCTGCAGCCCTGTATAGTAAAGAATTCCACATTCACTACCCTTTGAGAGAAGAAATTCCTCTTCAGCTCTGTTTAAAATGAGTGACCATATGGTCTGACACAATGCCCTTTGGTCCTTGATCCTTCCACAGGGGGAAACAACTGCATTTATCCTGTCAATTCCCATAAGAATCTTGTATGTTTCAATAGGTTACCTCTCATTCCTCTAAGCTCAAATGAGTACAGGACCAACCTACTCAAAATCTCCTCACAAGACAGTCCCTCCCTGGCCTAATGAATAATTTTTGGGCTGCCTGTCTTTCCTGAGCCAAGGGGCCCAAAACTTTTTGCAGTATTCCAGGTGGGCTGACTAGGCCTCCTAAAGTTTTAGCGAAACCAGCCTTCGTTTATATGCCATAAAAAAGCCAACATTCCATTTCCCTTCCCTATTACCTGCTGAATCTGGTTGCTAGCATTTTATGATTAATGCACGAGGACTTCCAAATCCCTCTGTTTTGTGTTCTGCAACCATTCCACATTGAAATAATGTTCAGCTCCTCTCTTCCTCCTGCCAAAATGCAAAATCTCACATTTTTCCACATCATCTGTAAAGTTTTTACCGAACAGTAATTCTGTTACCTTCATCACTTGCCTTCCCACCTATTTTTGTCATCTGCAAACTTGGCTATAGTACATTTGCTTTCCTCATCCAAGTTGTCAATATGTATTTTCAGCACTGAGCCTTGAGGCACTCCACTAATTACAGGTTGCCTATGTCATCCCAATTCTGTCTTCTATTAGTTACCTAAGCCTCTATATATGCTAATACACGATGGGCTCTTATCTTATTAAGCAGTCTAACATGTTGTACATTATCAAACGCCTTCTGAAATTCCAGATATATTACATCCATCGCTTCCCCTTTATCTATCCTGATTATTTCCTTCTCAAGTAATTCTAGTAAACCTGTCAGGCATTATATCGCCTTTGTGAAGGCATGCCTGACACTGCTGGACCATATTGTGTATCTCTAAATGCTCTGCTGTTACATTCTGAAAAAGACTCCAATATTCTCCCAATAACAGATGTTAAGCTATAGTTACCTATTTTTTTCTAGACAGGGAATGAGAATGTATGTACTTTGTGTGAAGTTATTGTCATAAATATGAATTTCTGACTGATTTTCAAAAGTAGGGAATGTATTGTGGATCAGTTAGAATCACTTCAGTGACAGTAAATGTTGCATTTACCTATCAGTGACATCAGCTAGAAATGCCTGACATGCAATCTGCTTAAAACAAAACAGAAGAAATGAAGGGCAATAGTTTTTCATTTGGCATAGTTTGTGAGAGGTGACTGTGGATCTCATGGTACCAGGGTAAATATTTGTACTGAGGGCTAGTTTTCAATGTTTACCCTGGAACACACAACTCTCTCACTTGTGTGTTTCCTTCTGCATGATTCACCGCAGTTCAGTTCTCCATTGGGATGAACATATTCTTACCATCCCAAACTTTATTCGGGTTAGTGTTGCAACTTCATATTAAAATCTTGGGGAAAATATCACATTTAAAATGCAGGAAATTCGTCTATTTCAGTATGTTTTTGAGTGGAGACTGTTTAGACACACAGTTCCCATTTCTTACAAAGTGGTGAATGATTTAAGCTGACGTACACTGGATTTATGTTTCTGAGATTCCCATTAATTCTTCTAAATTCCAATGAGTACAAACCCAATCAATTTTGTCTTTCTTTATATGTCAGTCCTGCCATCACTGGAATCAGTTTGGTGAACCTTTTCTGGACTCTCAATAACAAGAATGTACTTCCTCAGACTAGGAGACCAAAACTGCACACAATACGCAAGGTCTGGTCTCACCAAGGCTTTGTGTAACTGGAGCAAGACATCCCTACTCCTATACTCCTATACTCAAATCATCTCACTATGAAAGCCACCATGCCACTAACTTTGTTTCAGAGATAGT